TTTGCACAAATCAATATCATACAAAACTAAAAAAAAGACCGTACAAAAGTATTACTACGACACAAAAAAGCAACAATCTTTAATAAACTTAGAACTTTCTACTTAAAATAGCACAAGAGGATTAAAAAAAATTAAAATTATATCAATTCATTCCGGGAGCAGTTGATTCTTAATTTTTCTTTTGAAAGACAGGACAGACCTCGAAAAATCAGTAATTGTGAACTTATTTATTGACGTAGCAATTTGGTAGGAAAATGACTTTTTAAAGAATTCTTTTTTTATGAGCGGGTATGGTTAGAAGATGTTGTCTGCGGATATTTAGGTTATGCACATCTGTACGAAATTGTAATTTGTTGTAAAGATAAGGTGGGCATTTATGTTTCAGAATTTTATAAAAAACATACCGAGTGCAAAAGACGACGTTCGGACATGTTAAGCCAATTAAGTTCTCTAAGTTTATGTGACACTCTTTGTCTTCTTCTTATTCCGCAGATCAATCTTACGCAAGAGTTCTGGATTTTTTGTACTCTGTTGTTATCTTTTGAGTCGAGAAATGGACCATATACATTATCTAGATAATTAAAATGAGATAGAACAAGCGTGTCACATAAGATTGTTTTAGTTTTTGTGATAAAAGTGCCGCTGTGAATATATTAGTTTTAATTTTGAAAAAGCTCTGGCCAAGCAGAGGGGTGATATGTCCGTTAAATTTTAGTTTATTATCCATGACTAGACCAAGGTTTTTGCAAGACTTCTGAAATAAGATAAGATTATCACCTAATCTAGGTCTAACATGCTCCATAATCATATCCCGGTAACTCTCCGCGCAGAACAATAGAGCAGTTGATTTACTTGGATTTAAATGATGATCGCACTAGTAGCCGCTATTAAAATATTTCGGTATCATCCATGTCCGAACAGTATGAACGCAATCAGAAGCAAGAACGCAAGCAGAACGACGAGCAATGTGGACGCACCTTAACAATTTCTATGGAGCAAGAGCGTTTTTGTAAGAATCCAAATTTTCAAAAAGATATGTATGCGGTTATTTTAATGCAGTGTAACTATGTATAGAAATGTAAATTATTATAATTAATTAGTTTTAAGATTTTCTGTCGTGAGCATGGAAGTTTTTAACACTAACAATATATCTGTAAATTTAAAAAAAACTGAAAAGTAAACTGTGTACCAATGTTTTTTAGAATTATGATTACTTTTTTTAAAGTCATGGAACTTGATAAATCTTATTAATATAAATTTTACTGATGTGTAATGTTATTTTGTTAAAGTTTAATGAATGTTGTTTGCAAATTTGGTTACATGTTTATTTTTCTGATTGTTGTATAGTCTGCGAAATAAATATTTTTTTTTTGGAAAACAGCCCTTTTATTATTATTTATAAAAATGTGAGCATACCCTTATTTATCTAAGACAAGTGTATTTTAAAATAAAGTAAGTATTAAGGAGGGTCCACATTTAGTAACATGTTATATAACATTGCTATTTAACAAGCTACATACCACATGCTAAAAAACAGGGAGCCGTCCACATTATAGTTTTCGTAATCATGAATCGTTTTGGCGAGAAAGAGGTTCTGCTAGCAGCAGCGGCGTGCGTAATTATTTTTGAAGAAAGAGAAAGTCGAGAAAAAAAGCGGTTTTGAGTCCGCCATAGCCTACAAGATAGATCTATAAATATATAGTTGAACTCGATCAGCTTACCTTTTCAATACCTGCCTTGGCTGTTTCTCGTGGTGTGTTTCTGTCTTTTAAAAACAATAATAACTTAAAAGCAAACCATTTTGAATTTTTCACTTCGTCTAAACCAGTACCTGATTTGCATTTCTTTTGTTCCCTCTGAAACTGCCCTGCATTTTTTTCTCAAATTTTTCTCTTTCCAAATACATACTTTTTGCAATTTTTAACCATGCATCATGCTTTTTTTATTTCACTTTAAATGAGGGACTATGGATATCCCATAACACTGTATGATCTCTATACAACTTACTTAGTTGACAAAAGTCGGCTCTTGGCTCTACTCCATTAACAATATAAGAACATAGAGAGAAAGTAATAAAAAGGTTTACTTTACTATAAGTTCAAGCTTTTTACTATCTTTCTCTATGTATAAGAACCATACGATAGAAAAAAATGGCGTCAGCGATGGCTATGAAATGAAGATAGCTGTCATTTTATATAAAAAACTAGCGTGTACCAGCGACTTCGTTCGCGTTGAATTAATCTTACAAATGATTAATTCGACGGTTTTTTATTAATTTGGTGATGATAAAGCAAAGCAAGAATTTTCATTAGCATACAAACTGGATAAAATTTTCTCACATTTATGTCAGCATGAGAAAAAACAATATGGCGATTATAATATAAGTTATTATATAACTTGGTAATATTTGAGGGGTAGTTTCATCTCGTTGGAATTTGACTTTCGAAAAATCCATTTGCCAAAAATAAGCTTTTTACGTCAAGCAGTTTAAGCAGAATCGTGGTTAAGAAATTACCCAACTTTCTGGAACACCTGTATGATTTTTAAAAAATTTCAAAATATGTAAAAAAAAACAAATAAATTATGCTTGTCCAAGCGTTTTTCCGAAAGACTAACCGTTTTTTAAATAACAAATATTGTAATATTTGAGGGGCGTTTTCACTCTCTTGGAATTTGAGATTCGAGAAATCCCTCCTTATCGAACCTCTACACCCCACAGTCAATCCGTTTACCAAAAATCAGCTTTAAACGTCAAGTAGTTTAAACAGAATCGTGATTACTCAATGGTCATATTTTATGAAACACCCTGTATAAATTTATAAAAAATCTTAAAATATGTAAAACAACAAAATAAAATATACGTGTTTAAGAGATTTTCCGAAAAACTCACCGGTTTTTAAATAAATATATTTTAATATTTGAGGGATGGTTTCACCTCCTTAGAATTCGAGTTTCGAAAAATCCCTTCTTATCGATCCTCTACACCCTAAAGTCAATCTGTTTTCCAAAAATCAGCTTTTTACGTCAAGCGCTTTAAGCAGGATCGTGATTAATCAATGACCAAATTTTTCGAAACACCCTTTATACATTTTTAAAAAATCCTAAAATATGTAAAAAAACAAAATCAAATATACGTGTTTAAGCGTTTTTTTCGGAAACTTGACCGTTTTTTAAATAAAAAATATTGTAATATTTGAGGGGTGGTTTCACCCTCTTGTAACTGGAATTTCGAAAAATCCCTTCTTATCGAACCTCTACACCCTAGAATCAACCTGTATGCCAAAATGGAGCTTCTTACATTGAGTGGTTTGAGCAGGATCGTGATTAATCAGTATGTCAGTCACTTAAGGATTTTATATATTAGTATAGATTATATTGGGAATGTCATCGATCGTCATGTCCAAGCCAACTGGACGGGAGGCCGACTGGACGCAACTGCGTCCAGTCGGCCGAAAAAAACTTTTTTCGATCGAAAAAAACTTTTTTCGATCATACGGTATACCGTAAATAAACAAACTCAATATCAGCTCACCATACTAAGATTCTGTCGCGCACGTCCCTGAAAATATGGGCGGCTAAACTAGAAATTTAGCAAGTCTGGACGCATTCTCATGTTACAATAGCAGTGTTAAGCAACATCTTTTGATCTTTACCGGCTACAAATGGATAACATCTAGCAAGTTATATAGCAGCGAAATTTGCTAAATATGACTAAAAAATAAGTAACATGTTATATAACTTTGCTATATAGCAGTGTTATATAGCAAGTGTGGACCGTCCTTTAGTCAATCTAATTAATATTTTTTGTATAGTCAGTCAGTATGAAATTTTGATAGGAAATATTTAATGGACTCCACCAATTTCATCCGGCACACATACAGGGTGATTTACGGCCATGGTACTTTAGACGTTTATGAAGAACCGGTGATAGAATCTTTTTGAAAATTTACATTTTTGCACAAATGCACTTCTGAATTATTTTCTCTAAATGTTTTTTCTCTCTGCCTATTCTAATAAGACTAGGCATATTATAAAAGGCTGGCATTTTGAATAAAAGAAAGAATTTTTACAAAGAGCCTATCTATTTTCAGTCGCTTTGCAAAAAAACTAATCAGAATAAGGCTTATTAAACAACGACGATAGATTTCTGCAAAGAGACTGCCTGTTTTCAGTTATTTTAAAAAATGTCAAATCTAAACCAGGCATATTAAAAAATGGTTAAAGTTTAGTCAGCTATGAGCATAGGCATATTGAATAATTTGCGCTTTAAAAAAAATACCACAAATTTTACTATAGAAAAACAATATTTTATGTCAAGTTTTTATTTTGTTTAGAGGAAAACAACTTCAACCATATTTCATAAATTATAATTATTATAACGTAAGTTCAAATACAAAATATATTTATGTAAATACTTAATATTAATACTCATTCGAATATTATACTATGTAATTCGATTCTGTGTCCAGGGCTTTTTTTTGTGGAACTTTGTTGTCGTTTAGAATAAGATGAATTTATTTCTTTATAATACTCTTCCTTGGCCACACTCTCATTAACAAAATTATTACTCTTTTGTGACATTTCCTAATTTTGAAAGAGAAGTTCAAGAAATGTTCCTTGGATAAATTTAGATTAGTTTTTAGTTATACCAATTCCGCGTAAAATGTTTTGTGCAATCTGACTTGTCTTTATTAGGCATTTTGAAGAATGACTGAAAAAGTTCTTTGTAAAATTTCCATCTTTTGATTGAAATGCAGGTATTTGATAATATCACTTTTCGAGAAACCTATAATTTGCCATCGACTGTTAATCCACCCTGTACATAATCACAATAAACTAAATACTATATTTTTAGGTTTGAAGATGGTAATATAATTTTTAGCTGTGGCCATTGCTCCAAGAAATTTTCAACGCTTCAGAAACTAAAAAGACACACACGAACGCACAGAGAAAAGAAAATACCCTGTCAGTTTTGTAGCAAACTGTTCCAACTGCGACATATGCTTGATCATCATTTAAAATACGTTCACTTAAAGGAATTCAAGTTTGTCTGCCAATTTTGTGAGAGGAAATTTGTACAAGAAGACGTTATGAAACGTCACATCGACAATATTCATTTCAATCAGTTCAAGCATCTTTGTACTCACTGTCACAGAGGTTTCAATTTTCGATATGAGCTCTTGAAACACGAGGAATTCAAGCATAACGGGGTGCGACTGGTGTGCGACATTTGTAAGAAAACCTTCAAAAACGAACAGTACTTTAAAGAACATCAGAAAACTCACGAACCTGATTACCAAAAGTTCATTACACTTGCAGTTTTTGCTCGAAAATATTCATGCACATAAAATCGTATAAAGTTCATTTAAAAATCTCATACCGGTCAGACAGTATTAAGTGTTTGTGATATATGCGGCAAAAATGTCACCTCGAAATCTAGTCTTAGAGACCATATGCGTATTCATACGGGAGAAAAGCCATTTCAGTGTGATATTTGTGGAAAGAGTTTTACAACGAAAAATTTACTGCGGACTCATCATCGGGTGGTACACACCAAGGAGAAACCATTTGTATGTCAAATATGTGGAAAATCGTTCACTCAAAAGGGGAGTTTGAATATCCACATGAGATACCATACTGGAGAGAAGCCTTATGAATGCGGACTTTGTTCGAAAAGTTATGTTTCGCGAACCTTGCTGAAAAGCCATAAATGCTTGGGGCCTAGCTAGTAATGATATCTCTTTCCTGTTATTTATTTTATTTTTCATACAAGTAAATAACTTACAGGAAGACACCCTCATTCACTGCCAATTGCCATTATACAGGGTCTTTCAAAAAATATGTGTCATCCCTCGTAGAGAGATTCCTCACGTAAAAATAAGATTTATTTTTTATACAGGGTGAATTTCCTACGATGTTCTCTATGGGTATCTCGGAAACTACTGGAGATAGAGAGTCGGTTAAATGGGGAAAGAATTGCAGTTTTGTGAGGTCATAAACATTCGCCTTTCACATTTTTGAAAAAGTTCATGGCTTACTAGATATTTTGAAAGAAACAACTTTCGGCTATTTTAAAAATTGTCCCTAATTCCATTATAATCTATATTAGACAAAAAGTTTTCAGATAAAAGTTGTTGATAATCACATCCTTAATGGGATTGTGTCCTCCGTTTTTTTCTAAAGCCTGTCATTTTTGACATATGACACAAACATATGTTTTTTTAAATGGAAACCATAGTTGGCCATGACTTCATAAAAATCGCCATTTTTAAAGCTTTTTAGCGATATAAGCTATAATATGTTTCTTTCGAAAAATTACTGAGTTATAGTTAATTCTTATAATTTTTAAACAATTTCACTTAGTTAGCCATAGAAATAACAATCGTCAGTTCTCTCAGAAATGTGAAACTGTCACATCCATACTCTATAAATTAAAATAAACAAAAATTGTAAATATGAATTTTTAAAATGAAGAAAAGCGTGTAGGATTATTGGTTCAACTTTTCTTGGCCATACATTTTCGAGGATACGTTGACCGGTGAATGTTACTTACGTTTTTTAGAGAACGGTTTTCAAAACATGTTAGAAAAGTTAAATTTAGAGACTCGCGCATCAATAGAGTGACTTTCATTATGACACTCCCCCTAATAATGAAAGAAATGTTAAAAATTATTTATATCATAATTATGCAAACTCAGGGATAGGAAGAGGTGGACCGATTGCATGAGCCTCCCCGATTACCTGACCTATCCATTTTTGATTTTTTTAGGCGGTATGGTTAACAAATAAGGGTTACAAAAGAACTTATGAATTAAGAGAGGCACTCGAAGGCGGTACGGGAGAAGTTTATTAAAGTCGACCGGCCATAGTCAACCGTTCTTTGGAAATTCATAAGTTGTTTCTTCATTTGAAAAATTCATCATATTTACGATTTTTGTTTATTTTAATTTATAAAGTTTGGATGTGACAGTTTCACATTTCTGAGAGAAAGGACGATTGAACTTGTTTCCATGGCTAACTAAGTGAAATTGTTTAAAAATTATAAGAATTGGCTATAACTCAGTAATTTTTTTAAAGAAACATATTATAGCTTATATCGCTAAAAAGCTTAAAAAATGGCGCTTTTAGTAGCGCTTTTAGCGCTTTTAGCGCTATGAAGTCATGGCCAACTATGGTTTCCATTTAAAAAAACATATGTTTGTGTCATATGTCAAAAATGACAAGCTTTAGAAAAAAACGGAGGACACAATCCCATTAAGGATGTGATTATCAATAACTTTTATCTGAAAACTTTTTGTCTAAAATAGATTATAATGGATTTAGGGACAATTTTTAAAATAGCCAAAATTTGTTTATTTCAAAGTGTCTAGTAAGCCATGAACTTTTTCAAAAATCTGAAAACCGCATGTTTATGACCCCACAAAACTGCAATTCTTTCCCATCTATCTCCAGTAGTTCCCGAGATACCCATAGAGAACATCGTAGAAAACTGACCCTGTATAAATATATCTCCGATTCTGCTTTATTTCGTAGACACAGCATATGTCGACATATTCACCAGGGACGTGCATATGGGTTATTACTGGAATATTTTACTGAAAAAAAAACTTGTGCACCATTGCTTTTTTTTTCTTCTTAACCCAGTTGTATAGCCTGTTTGATGCCGATTGAAAGTCGCCTGTTGATATTTCGTCTATTTTAGTCTTCTTGATGAAACAACACAATTTTCTTACATAATATTGCTAACAAGAAAAAAAATCAGCAATGGCGCATGTGTTTTTTTACAAAAATATTTTAGTGATTACCCATATGCACCACCCTGGTGAATCTGTTGACACTTTTTTGGTACTAAACTATACTATAACACTTAACTAACTTTTACCCTCAGAATTTCATATGAATCGCTAAAAGCTCTTGGAAGAACTTATAATAAATCGAAATGAAATTAAGATTTTAACCACCCTAGTTAAGAAACAAAGCAGAATCAGACATATTATGTTGATATAAATGATAAATCTTATTTTTGCGTGAGGAATCTCTCTATGAGAGATGGCACATGCGTTTCTTGAAACACCCTGTATTGCCATTTCATGTTGCTATGATTTTTATAATTGAGATTGAAAATATTTTTATACCTTTTATAAAAACTTACCTCAGGTTATATTTTCCTCCGTATGAAACAATGTTATACATTAAGATTTTTATGATGACCTTAGGTCATGCATGATACATCAGAATTCTAAGACGAATAATACAATAGTAAATATGGTAGGTTACTAAATCTGACAAAATGTGAATTTTTCAAATTATAATAAACTTCATCAAAAAATGACGATGTTTCATTTTTCTTGTAATTGTGTGTTGTCTCCTTTCTATGTTTACGCTTAGTCCCGAATCTTGTACCCCGTATGTCCTTGAAAGGATGATATTATAGTTCTTCCGATTCTATCCTTTATTTCCAAATATGTTGCTTGCGATCCAGAGTCTCACAGTGACAATATGTGCTCTAGAGGTGGGAATTCTAGTTCCTTGGGAGGAACTAGTTCCTTCAGAGGAATAGTTCCTTGAACTAGGTTTTTAGTTCACAATAGTTCCCGACTACCATTGACATCCCCCTTGCTTGCTAACGCGTTTCGTTGTCAGTCAGAACTATTCACAGTATGATCTGTGTAATTTTTATAATGTACGGAGATAGAACGAGACGTGTAAATGTGTATGTTAAAAACATATAGTAAGTTTTATTGCAGATAAAAAAATAAAAAATAAACCCAAATCAGAGTTTAAAAAACTATATCACAAATCAATTGGAGCAAATATTACAAAAAATTTACGAAAAATTGCATTTTTCCTCACTTCAAGCTTTTTGGTTTTGTCTAAAAATTCAGAATATCTACATAGTTTTATAAGATATTTCTTAATTTTAGGGAACTAAAGTGAAACATTCCCATAAAATATGTAAAAAACAAACTAAAAATCAAAAACAGTATCCACGACAATTTTCTGTGGTAATTACGCCGGCTGTGGCAATAGACAAGGCCGAATCCATCGTCGTCGCCTTGTATTATATATCGGATCTGCCGACTGAATAGATTCCCGTGAACTAGTCTTTTAATTAGTTCCTCTATGTCCGGATCCGATAACATACGGCTGGCACACCCCACGCCTGCCTAGCATCAATCGCGCTGGTTGATCCATACGTAAACTAGTCTTTTATTTAGTTCCTCTAGTTCCTTTAGGCTCGGATCCGATAACATACGGCTGGCGCTCCCCAGTCCCGCCTAGATCGTGCTGCCCCGATTCGTACCTTCGTAAACTAAAGTAAATTCAACCCCAAGATGCACCAAACGTAAACAGAGACATGAGGCAAGCACGTGAACAGGAACGCTGTAGTAATATAACCAGGACCGCACTAAGGTCGGATATTTCAAATCATAAAATTATTATGTATATTTTTATGATTTTTTTTTACTATTGTTTATATTTTATGATGGAAATTTATATTATATAAATGGGTAATTATTGGGAAAACTGGAAATCGTCCTATTTTCACCAAAATTGGTATACACCCTATTTTGAGGTCTTAGATTACGAATCTGACCAAACCTAACCAACCAGCGGTCTCTAACCGTTTTTCAGAAAAAGGGAAAATAATTTCTACATTGAATTTTTCTTTATTTCAGCCCTATAAAGTAAAAATTTCACTGTATTTTTATTATATCATAGTTTATCTAAAAGCCACACTTGATTGAGGACTGAAAAATGTCCAAATTTTTACTGAAAAACACTTTTCTTAACAAAATAACAAAGAAAATTGGAGTTGGATGAGTTTGACATGGAAGATGGAAGTTTGACATTTCATATATTCTTCTTTCTCTCTCCTATGTAATGAGAGAGACAAATATTTGAATTTTTTCGGGTGATTAGGGATTTTAAATAAATTACCAATTATGAGATCTGACAATAGTTAAATATACCTATATCCACAAAGTTACGCCTAAGAGTTTTAATTACATTGCTTTCAACTTCTATGTTTAGGGGGTTGATATTTTTATGTTATATTATATTAAAAAAAAGATTAAACCCCTTCGCAAAGAAGTTATATAAAGACTATTTATAAGCACGAAGTTGCATGGAAGAGTTTTAATTGCATTGGTTTCATCTTTTTTTGCGGAGGGGGTTAATCTTTTTTTTTATATAATATAACAAAAAAAGATTAACACCCTTCGCATAGAAGTTGTAACCAATGCAAACAAAACTTTTTCGTGTCACTTCGTGGTTATAAATAGTCAGATCTCGTTGGTAAAATAGCAGTTATGTGAAGGAGCCGTTCCTCCGGCAACCGCCTTTCGTAATCCCAGAACGAGCGAAAAAAACACGCAAAATTTACGTTCAGCATTGGCAACGTTGTTTTTAAATGTCAGAAGCACATAACCCAACATTTTCAGATTGTCTACACATTTAATTTAGCAAATTTTCCTCTATTATGCATAGAGTTGGTTAAAAAAGTAACAGAAAATAGCAAAAACCTCATTGTTTATTGAATACCTAACAAAATATGTGCTAGAAAACCTTAAAAATATGAGAAATTAAGTAAAATTCTATGTTGAAACTATTTTCCGTTTTTCTGAAAACGGTAAGAGATCGCCAGGAAAAATGTTCAGGTTTGTAATCTACGACCTCAAAATAGGGTGTATACCAATTTTGGTGAAAATCGGACGATTTCCAGTTTTCTTAATAATTACCTTTAATTATTAACTACATATAATTAGAGAAATAAAGTGACAAGGTAGGAATTATTAAAATATTACATTACCTTTAATAAACCGATTCCAACAAATTTGGTGGTTTTTTTTAAAAGGGCTTAATTTGTCCTTTAAAATAATTATCTTTGATATTTAGTACCACCTGTACTCACTGATTTTTATTTCCATTATTGACAGCAATATCTGAATATCGGTATAAATAGGTATCTGTTTCTATAATACTATTTGCAAAAAATGCAATGATGTAAACGTTTTTACATCATTTAAAAGACCAACTGCATTATAACATAATTTAATACATTTTAGTATTATCCATTTTAAAGTATAACGACATTTTTTTGAAAAACTAGTCAATTAAAAAATTAAAATTAGATTTACAAAATTTATAATTTTATTAACATTTACAAAATAATAATTTTATATAAAATATATAACTTTGACTTTTGTAGTAGGTACGTGTGTATTACTTTAAAAAATATTTTATGCAAACATAAATATTATTTTCTATTTGTAACTTGTAACTTGTACGAAGTGATCAACAATTATTATTGAAATAGTTGACTGTTCTGATTTTACTCGCTTGGTTGGGAATAAATTTAAAAGCATTTTTATTTTATCAAACAGTATTCCTTAACGCGCTATGCAAGCCGACCCTGTAAAAAATCTCAACCGCCTACCCCAACGGCTCTATGGCCGGCCGGCCAATCAGGGTAGATTTCGCCGCTGGTTCTCGCCTGACACGTGCTGATCACGCACTGTGCATTTGTTTATACCGGTGCATTTTGAATTTGAATACAGTTTAGTCTTTTATTTAGTTCCTTCAGGTCCGGATCTGATAACGTACGGCTGGCAAGCCCCACTCCTGCCTACTATCCGGCTACGCGCGCTAGCCGATCCGTCGCCGTCGCATAATATTATATATCGGTCACAGTCTCGATCCAGGAATAGGTCCTGAGGAAATAGTCCTTTGAGAAACCAGGAACCAGTTCCTTTCATTCCGGAGTCGGAATAGTTCATTGAAACTAGTTCGTTCACGAACCACACACCTCTTAATGTGCTCTGTTGCTTCAGGATCTTTAGTGTATTAGAGAGTCTACAGCAAATTCCTTGATGCAGTTTGAACTTGTTAAGGTGGCATTTAATAGAGTTGACGGCCATATGTCCTGTGCAAAGACTGTTGTAATCCACCCTTTATTCCTGCTGATTCATACCATTTCCTTTAACTACTGGGAGCCAAATTTAGTGTGGATCGAGCATATCCCAAGTAGCATTTTTGGACACATTTTTGATAATGTTTCTAATAATCGTGTCTCTGTTTCTTGATACAAAATGGAAACGGTATGCCACAATAGGAAATTTATATAGGGTCCAGCAAAATATAATGTCGGGCATCTGTAGCTCCTAGGAATAAAACTTAAGAATTTTGTTTCAGTGGAAATCTAAAGCATAAGTTCTAGGATGTATTCTAGAAAACATCTAAACTTTTGAGAGAGAGGAGTCCTCAGTAGTGAGTGGACTGGATGATTTTTTAAAATGGAACACCCTGTATAATATTGTATTTTGACTTTTCAGATTATTTTTAGATAATCCTAAGATATGAGTAAATATACTTATATTTCAAGATATTAATAATAACAAAATATATATTTTCAGCCTTCTTAAAAATATTATTAAAATACAAGAACTATCCTCTATTCATCAAAAACTATATTAGGTATTTACTTTAGATGGTCTGTACTTAATTTTGTTAATAAAATATAGTATCAAATATACAGGATGTTCAAAATTCTATGTCAACTTTCTAAAATATAAAAATAACTTTTTCTTCATTAAATAAAATTATATCAAAAAAAAAAAAAAAAATAAACATTTTGTATTTAGAGTATTTCAAGATTTTTTAACGGTTGTCTGCAGATATTCAGTGGCTCTTTATATTTCATATATGGCATTGTCCATAGTAAATTTTTACCAAAGCCATCCAATAATTTTCCTCTCGTATTTTACCGTTGTTGAGAGAGCCATATGAGATAATACTGCTTGTATCTGCGAAACCATTAAAATTTTGAAATACTTTAAATACAAAAAATGTTCATTTTTAATAATTCTCCATCTAGTGGAAAAAATAAAATACAGGGGTTTTCCATTAAAAAAAACAAAGAAAAATTGTTTTATATTTTAGAAAGGTTGGCCTTAGAATTTCCTAAAAATATCCTGTATGATTTTAAGATTACGATATTTATAGCAAAGTTAAATATAGACCATAAAGTAAATATCTAATATAGTTTTGATTTCTTAGACAAGTTCTTGTATTTGTAATAATTTTTAATAAAGGTTGAAAATATATATTTTTATTTATTTATTAATATCTCATAAACTGTCGACATATATCTACCTACATCTTAGGATTATGTAAAGTGATCTGAAAGGGAAGCCAAAAATGCAATAATATGAGGGTGTTCCATTTAAAAAAAAAATAATCCTGATCCACTTCCACACTTTTGAGCCTCCTTATAGAAGTTAAAATATTTTCCTGAAATACATCCTTGTACATACTTTATGTTTACACTTAAACAAAATTCACAAGTTTTTTATTCTAGGAGCTACAGATGCCCGACGCATTATTGCCGGACCCTGTATATTTTATATGGCTTTATTATATTCAGTATTATTTATATTATGTGTTTCCATCAATGTGGTGGCACTAGCTGTTTCCTAAAATGTTTCGATGCGGAATCAAAACTTTAGAGGAAATGTTCTGAAACATTTTCTGCAATTTTGTGTCCAAGATGTTCTCGTTTTCATCAGCCACTGTTTCTAAATATATGAAGAAACAAACTACCAAACTAAAATAGTCTATGTCTGTGTGTGGATTTCAAAATGAAACAACCATCAACAATGTCGACTTCCCCCATAATTTTTGTCTTAAAATCTTTGTTTTTAGGTTTTCTCGCACAAAAATGTCTCATAAAAAAGCAAATTCATCAGTTTAATTTAATAATGCACCGTATGATCGAGAAAAACGGCGTCAAAGTGATGGCTATGGAATGAAGATCGCTGTCATTTTATATGTAGAATTTATATGGAAATGTCATCGATGTTCATTTCCAGCCAACTGGACGCCGTTTTTTTCGATCATACGGTACCTCTATATTTTTAATGCCCATTCTATATATCATTATTTATTATCTGCTATTGTTACAAAATATTTTTGTTTGAAATATAGCTTTTTATTTTTAAATAGAAAAAAAAAAAAAAAAAAAAAAATACAAATATATAAATTAACGTAAGTAGAACGCGTTCTAATGAGTTTATACACAAGCTCAACAGTCGATAATAATAATAATAGCTCCTGTATATAGCAGTTTAACGGCCTTGGGAGTAGCAAGGTGCAGCTTGCTATGCTAGAGCTGTTCGGTATACAAGGAAGGTAATGTGGCTAGTATTACGCTTCAACCGCCTATTATTACGTCAGGATTGTGAATCCTAAGTACTCATTTAAGGCTGAGTCGACCTCAACAGTCGATAAAAACATATATTTTTAGTTAAAAATGCTATTAGTAGCTAACATGGCGAATTTTAGTTCAATATTTTATAAAGTCGACATGGAGTCGGACACAAATCATCTACTTTATATCATATTTGTGTCTAAAAAGAGAGAAACACGTGTTTCGAAAATTAATCGACAATAAATGGAAACCTTGTTTCCAAAATGTTTCGATTTAGCGCTATCTGTGTAGAAATTTCGAACTAGTCACCTGTTAACAACGCTAATCAAAACTTCTTAAATTGTTAAGTAATATTGCAGTTTTCTGGTTCTCTACTTCTTACTCCTTACTCATTTTTCCAGAATTGGTAGTTGACTACAAAGGTAATAAATGTCGCGTAAACTAAATTTGATATATTGAAATTTAAACTTACTTTTATTTTAGAATCGGGAAATATATTTTGTATCACTGCTGGACACATGCAGTAAAACATTTCCGTCATTTAAAAAGTTCCAGAAACACAGTTACATCCACCAACCAAAACACTTCTCAATGTAAATAATTATGACAGAAAATTTGTTTCAAATATTCCTTACTATCACATCAGAAACGTTCACGAAAAAGCCATCGTCCAATATCTGTGTCCGCACTGTGGACGAAAATTCCGAGAAAAGCTGTGGTTTGAGAAGCACGTGAAAAGTCACGATCCGCAATACGAATCGGAGTTTCGATGTAACATTTGCCTGAAAAATTTAAGCTGTTATCGGTATTTGGAGGCCCATTTGAAGAAGAGACATGCCACTGATGATCCCAGATTTCCTTGTCGGTACAGAAGGTACTGCTGTGATATTTGCGGAAAAGTTCTTTTGAAGAAGAACCTGAAAGAGCATATGATGTCTCATGCTGGTAAGGATTATTTAATTATCAACTATGTACCGGATGAGTTAAAAAAGACAATTCTATTCTATAAATTAGTTTGATAACATCTTGTTTTATAATATACCGGGTGCGTCTCTAAAAGTGGTCACCCCCTATAACTTTTTTGTATTTTTTAAAAAAAAAAAAAAAAAATTTTGTATGTTAGTACATTAAGCATAAATTAGGATTGATTGACGTATTCACTTTTTTCGGTCACTTCCTCTGTTTTACCGGAAATGACTACAACTTTGATTTTTAAATGGCACCCTTTGGTATTTTTTACTTCATATTACTTACAGCGCTTTACGATAGAAAATGACACTCTGAATAGATTGATATTTCATATGTCAACTTTGGATATTTTTGAATATGGTTTATCTGAAATTGCAATATACGATTCATAAATGACAATTTGACTGAAATACCAAGTGTGGTATCAAATTATTCGTAAAAATGCTTTTTTAAACATGCTAATGAGCCATCCTTGTTCCATTTGAAAATTGAGATGCGATTAACAAAAACGATTTAGGCATCTTATAACTGGCCAGAATAAGACAGTAAAACATTAGACGATCAAAAAAAAAAACAAAAAAAAAACTTTGATTAAAAATTAGTGTTTTTTAACACAACCAATGGTAACTCTAGATTGAAATTTAAAATACAATTTTGTTTTGAGCGAAAAAGTCAAAAGTTAACATAATATGATGTCAATTCTATTCAGAGCGTCACTTTCATCGAATAAAGTAAAAAATACTGAGGCTGCCATTTAAAAATCAAACTGGTTGTAATTATTTCGTGAAACAGGAAGTGACTGAAAAAATTGAAGAATACGTCAATGAATTCTAATTTATGCATAGGACTATCATACAAAATCTCTCGTTTTTATCTGAAAAAATTAAAAGTTATAGGTGGAGCTAATTTCTTGATCCCGGCCCCAACCAACCCAAATTTTGAGACAAACCATGAGACTTTAACCGATCTTTTGGGGTTTCCTCTTGTAAATTTTATTAACTACCCATGTTGCCATATTATCAAGAAATTATATTTTTTATCCAAAATCCAAAAATCCAATTTTTATTCAAAATTCCAATTTTTTTTTTTTTTCGAAATATAATTCTTAAAAATGTTTGCACTTATGTAAGAGTCTCCCTGTATATCAACTTTAATTCACAAACTCAATATTTATAAACTTTAGTATTTGGCCGGTATAATTTACAGGGTTTTTTTTTTAATTTAAGGGTTGTTTTTTACCTTTTAATTTTAAAATTCCCTGCGCCATAATTTCGTGAGAAATATTCTTTAAAACATTATTTTTGGTCTCCTGAGCATTTTGCTATTTGACTCATGTCAATTTTTTCAATTATCATTAGTTTTTGCTGTTATTTTTCAATATGGCGCATGGCGTGGTGGTTTTTGATGACTATTGTGAACTCTATCTCGTTCAAATACTACTATCACAGATTAGGTATCCTATAAGTATACAGATCAAAATCTTGTCCCTAATTCGTGGTACGAAAATTGTTTTTTATGACGATGTGCAAAACGAGTCAAATTTCCTGCGTGCAAAAATAAACTGGTGTAAAATAACAATAAACAGTGTAACAGAGAGATATCGCTAAACCGAATAGCGTGCATGGACGTTAATAAGGCCAGGTATTATTTCCTTTACGTGAGGTGGTATTAACTCTTCATTTATAGTTATCGGATCGAAAGAATTTGATCGCGTCGCGTCCGCTATTTAAACTTAACCTAACTTTGAATTTAAAACTTTGAAATTGTTTTATTTACTAGGCATTTTAAAACCAAAGGGCTAAAGTGCTTATTCCAGTGCTTTATTGTTCAACGTCTCTGCCAGTGGGTTTAGGCAACAAGCAACAAATTCTCTTGAAGGGCTAAGTCGTCATCCGCTGTAAACCTGAGACTCTTTATAGGTTCTTTAATACTGGAAGAGGTGGAATCCATATTTTGGGCCATATTTATTTAATTAAAACTAATCCCAGCTACTTAAATATCAAATTACCTAACAAAACTAAAGTACAATTCAAAACAATTCAAACATAACCTAAATAAAAGATCTCGCCGGCCGGCTCCTGTTGTCAAATACCCGCAATTACGCTCCATTTTAAGCAATTTTAAACGTTATCAGAGGTTATTTAGAAAGAGCGCTTGTAATTGATCCGCAAATTACGTCAGGCGGTAACGTTATTATCGGGTAAGTTATTGCGTTAAAATTGATCGCGCCTCGCGCGTACCGTAACCATGATAAGGTACGCGTAAATACTGGATGACGCTATTCAGTTTTCCGATATCTCTCTAATAACTGTGCCGGTCAGGCGCTGTACACAATTGTAAAAGCCATAAGTGGGCGTGCTATGTGCGCAAACTAGTCACCTAACTAGTGCCCGATTCCGAAAATTGGAACCACGAAAAACAATAAAGAAAAAACAAAGATTATAATCTGTATAATCTGTGCTACTATGAACTGGGCAAATAGAACACGTTTGGGACTCGCTTAACAGTGAGATGTCGGTTGCGAAGTGGCACCAGCTCCATTAAATGAAATTCTCTTGGTCCTTGAAGAACAATGGGTAAACATAACGCAATAATATTTGTATAGCTTAAGTTAACTGACAGTATGAAGCACGTCCACAGACAGTTGCAGCAGCCAGTGAGACATTACAAAGTATTAGGTTATTTTTTACAAGTTATTTTCTGTTTGTATATCTAGCTAATACAGTTATGTTTTCTTAATATCGTTAGTTGTGTTATTATTTTTAAAGTTTATTATAACCAAGACTGTATAGTCTATAAAATGAATAACTTTGAATTTTGACCGTTATTTTTTACCAACATGGCAAATATAAAATCCCGCTGTCAAAACAGTTACTGATATTCTTTAAATTGAGTGCCTGAACGAATCAGATAGGTAACTCTTTTACTTTCTCAAGGAATAGAAAAGGAAAATAATAAAACAAGTGACTTTCTCTCTCTTCTGCAAAAAAATCTATCAATGAAATGTCATAATGGGACAAAAAGTAAAATGTCAGCTTTTGACATTTCTAAATATTAGACCAATGCCGTCTCTAATAGAACAGCCTCGGAGCGAGATTTATGATGTCACGCTAGTTAGATACTACGGATTAATAAATATGTTGGAGAATACATGGAAAACATAATTATTATAATGAATAGGTGGTACATACGATAATGGGTAAAATGTAAAATATATTTTAAATTTTGGTGTTCGAAAATCGATCTAATTTCAACAAAAACATCTAATATGTACTAATAGTGATGCATTATTATTTACATTCACAAAATTCTATTTATATATTATAAATGTTTACTGCAATTAATAAACTAATATAAACTTGTCAAAAGATGACCACATATTTTTTTAAATTCATTATTCTTAACACAAAACTATCTACATTGACTATAGAGTACGATTTCAGCCATATTGTAAAACATTTGCCGTATTTGTATGGTTCATAGTTTGTCTGCCAAAGCATTTATTACTATAAATAGGGTATATTATATTGTATTTATTAACTGTATATTATGTATATTTCATGTAAACTATATATAATTTTAAAATACAAACCAAAAATACGAGGAATAATTATGTTTTCCATGTATTCACCACATTTATTAATTCAGAAGTTTCTAACTAGCGTGACGTCATAAATCTCGTTCCGAGGCTGTTCTATTAGAGACGGCATTGCGTCAGCATGGCCGCAAGTTACTAACCTAATAAAATTAACACTAGAAAAGCCCGCGGGAACTGTCAAATTCAAAGTTATTCGTTTTACAGACTATATCATCATTCTTTAACGTTTTTTTTTAAATTTAGTATAGAGTATTTAGTAAAAACTTCCTTAATAAATAGCAGGATAGATTACAGATACGCAGACTTAATAGCCAACATATATAGCGAAGCAACAACAACAATTAAAATCCACGAAGGAACAAAGCCAATTCGCATAGGAAGAGGTGTCAGACAGGGTGATACAATATCCCCTAAACTCTTTAACCAGGCATTAGAAGACGTTTCAAAAATTTAGACTGGGAAGAAAAAGGTATCAAAAATATGTGGACAATACTTGAATCACCTAAGATATGCGGATGATATCGCCTTAATAACAGAAAAGGAAGAAGAACTGGTAGAAATGCTGGAAGAACTAGATACAGCAGCTAGAAGAATAGGCCTAAATATGAACTGCACTACAACTAAAATCATAAAAACACAGTAGATGAAAAAATAAATAAACTAGAATAAACCAAGAAAAATAGAACAAGTTGAAGAGTATATATATCTGGGACAAATGATTAAACTGGAAAAAGAAAACCAAACAGCTGAAATAAAGAGACGAGTAAGACTGGCCTGGGCAGCATTTGGAAAATTAAGCTACATATTAAAAAAACAAAAAGATAATCATCCACAGTACCTCAAAACCAAAGTATATAATCAATGTACTCCCTGTACTTACTTACGGATCCCTGACCTGGACACTGACAAAATCAAATATGGATAAGGTAACAAAAACTTCAAAGATTCATGGAAAGACAAATGCTACATATAATGCTGGCAGATAGAAAAAGGAATGAGTGGATCAGAGGAAAATCTAAAGTAAGGGATGTTAGAAGTGAAGTAGCAAAATTGAAATGAAAGTCTCTGCTGGTCACAATGTCAGACAGACGGGTGATCGATGGAACAAATGCATCATAAACTGGAGGCCCTGGGAGAATAGAAGAAGTAGAGGAAGACCCCAGATGAGATGGGCGGACGATCTGAGGAAACATGCAGGCACAAGATGGATGAGCACGGCGACAGAGAGGGAAGAGTGGAGAGATTGGGGGAGGCCTATGTTCAACGATGGACCGAAGAGGCTGAATAGATAGAGATAGAGTATTGAATAAATATCGAATGTGGCCTTAATATGCCATTAGAACAATAATCATCAAAGCCACCTCTTCATATTAAAAAGTAATATCAAATAGTGATGAAAACTGAAATAATTGCAAATTTTGTTGGTGGTAACTGTAACTTTAGTAACTGTAACTTTGCTAAATTTTGCTATCTCAGAGCTCAGCTATATCAAAAAATAATGTTTTAGGAAAATTTGCTCCCGAAATTATTGCACAGGGCGTTTTAAAGATAGGGCAAAATATGTGGACAATACTTGAATCACCTAAGATATGCAGATGATATCGCCTTAATAACAGAAAGGAAAGAAGAACTGGTGGAAATGTTGGAAGAACTGGATACAGCAGCCAGGAGTATAGACTCCACATGAACTACAGTAAAACTAAAATCATAAAAAACACAGATGAAAACATAACAACCAGAGTAAACCAAGAAAAAAAATCTCCCGAAATTATTGCACAGGGCGTTTTAAAGATAGGGCAAAAACAACTCTTTGATTAACTATTACCCCTATACAGGGTGAGTCTTAAATAAGTGCAAATTGGAATTTTTTTTATTTTTTTTAGTAAAACACAAAATTTACAAGAAAGAAAGCCCAGAAAAGATCCAGTGGTTCTCCAAATTTAAGCAAAAAAAATTTTTTTTTTTAATTTTTTAAACTAAAATAACTAGGTTATTTTGGATTTATTTGAACTGTAAAAAAATATATTTCTTTTATCGAGATCTACCAGTCCTTAAAATATAATTTTAGAAATTTTGGAATTTGGAAATAATTATTTCCAAATTTATAAATAATATGAATAATTTTCAAATTTTCCGAATATTTGTATTCGTATTTATGGAGCCGGAAACTAATTTGTCAAATTTTCTGCTTACATAATGGAAGTTCTAGTTTATACCACTATACAATAGTTCTTTGTCGCAAATTAATTTTAATTTGTGTCTTTGTTTTTAAGGAAAAAAACCATATGGCTGTGAATTTTGTGATAAAAGTTTTATTACGCGGAAATGCTTAAAAATTCACACCAGGATCCACACCAAAGAGAAGCCATACGTTTGCACACTGTGCAATAAAGGATTTAGTCAACGATATACCTTAACAATTCACATGAGATATCATACAGGAGAGAGGCCATATAGTTGCTTAGTGTGTCCCAAGAGCTTTGTTACACAATCTGCATTAAAAGGCCATGTTTGTACTGGACATCGTAGAAAATAAATTATCCGAAAGTGCTGGTGATAGTCTATCGTTATAGTTTTAAACTAGATTGTTTCTTCTGTATTTTTTGTTGTCGTCTATGGAAATCAATTAATTTTTTCGTCGGAGAATTATTATAAATTAAAAGTTAAATATTATTTATGTATATTCCGTCTTACTACCAAATCTTCTGCATTTAAATCAACTCTAGAGAAGTTTTAGTTAAAGAATACCGGAATAAGGGAGCCAAAGTGCCTTTGAATAATTCTTTTGAAAAAACTGTTGAAGAAAATAAACTCTGATTATATTATGCTGCCGTAAGCCGCCATTTTATACTAGCAATACGTAACCGAACGAAGTACCGAG